GCATCTAAACGAGGGTCCTCTGGTTAGCTAGTGGAAGCCATATTGCAACTAAAAAGTTGATTCTGATTTCTAAATAGGCCATTTAGAAAATTAGAAGAGGGTTTCTGTTTTGTCCCTCTTTTGCAACTGCAGCCAAAAGATCACCCTAAACTTTTCAAAGCAACCAAATGATCTATAGCCTAAAGCAAAACTCAGATAATTGAAGGGACAAATCACCCTCAGGGATCTGTTCACACTGGATTTTTACGTCCACTATGACTGGACAGATGTTTCGAAAAATACTTCTGGTGGCTATATAGTTTATCAATTGTCATTAGGATTCTCATTAGGATTCCCTCTTATCCATGTTACTTTTAAGCTTTAACTGGACACAAATCAACGTATATATGGATTCGTACTACTCTGCTAAAAAGACCCTCAATATTTGAAGGTGTATACTAACAGCTGCAACAAAGTTCAGCTTTATTTTTCTCCCTTTTATGAGCTAGAGCTTTATTGACCAACAAATTTACAAAAAAAATTCTAGATAGAACTAGCTCATCAGTACGAGAAAATTATGTGCTAGAGAGGAATCTTTCTGCTTGAAAAGGTCCAGTTCTAACAATCATAATTTGAGGTTATTAGAAGACACAAAACCTTGTAAAATTAGCATGGCCAAATCATAGGTGAAAAATGATCCCTCATGTTCAAACACATAAGTGTATCTTCTACGAAATTTAAATAAAATAAGAGAAATATATTGTAATTGTTCATTGGATTCCACCCATCTGGACATAATGGACTCATGGTGCAACCATCTGGTTATCTGTACACTGTCAAGAGTCAGGTTTTCACTGCTCAGCTTGAAAACCTTCCACTCTAGGAGTCACGTGGCACAGGTCTTTGCCCAATCCCAACTTGGAACGACAAGTCAGTAAGTTGCACACACAAGCCTAACCACATTGTACAAAGCCCAAGAAGTTCAATCATTTTAATGCCCTCACTTGAGTTACAAGCTCAAGATACTGAGTTAAACAAAGTTTCATAGATACACTTTGAAAAATATAAACATAATA